AGCTCGAACCTGACTGACCTACCCAATTAGACTTGCATTCTTACTTTGGTGGTTCTTTCATAACTTAACTAGCTTTCCTCTCCCGCAAGGTTCATAAAGGAAGAAGAAGAAGAAAAATAGATGGAAAGAACAGAAAAAAGGAAAAAAAAAATTGCAGAACAGAAAAACTAGAAGAGTGCTAACAAAACAAAGAAAGAGAAAAAAAAAATCATGTTGAAAAATTATACTTGAAAATCTGGGTGGAAATTTACACTGTATCAGACCCGGACCCTTCAAGTTTTAAATTTTTAATAATTTCTCAACCCAAATTGCACCCCTACCTAACTCCTTTAAGTTTGCATTCTTTTAATATTTGTTTAAAAAATCCTAATATAACCTTGAGAAAAAATTTTGTTGGAGAATATGGATGGAAATTACATATAGGTACCCTGTACTTTGAGGGTAGTGACAGATGGGCACTGTGTAATGTTTAACTGGTGAAATACTAATGGATGGACCTAAGGCTCAGTTTGGAAGGAGTACAAATACAAATATGCAAGGTTTTGCACTCTACATATTTGTATTTGTACTCCTTTCAAACTGAGCCTAAGTGTCTATTTTTTAAAGTTCAGGGCATTCAAGTGTTGCAATTAAAAATTTAGGATATTTATCTATCACTACCCCAAAGTACAGGTATCTATTTGTAATTTACCCTTCATTTAATTTGCTTTTAAAGTTTGCCAAAAAATGATACTAATTGGGTGAGTGAATGAAATCTGGCAATTGAGTACTTGTATTAAGCTTGTTGGGCTTATTGCTTAAGGGCACCCAAAAAAAGCCCAAATAGTGTTTATTTCTCCCCAAAAAACCCATCTAGAGGAAGCCAAAAATTTTGGGATTTTGGTTTCTTACCTTGTGAAGAAACCCTTTTATAAAGAAAAAAAAATCCGTTTAAAATATCACACCAAATGCTCAAATGTATTTGTCTAAATAAGAATTTATTCAAAAAGAAAAATACTTGTTTAAAAGCTCGTTTAGAAAGGAAAAACTTTCCTATCCCAAACATACGTCTAAACTTTATTTCACACTAGAGTAAGGGAATGTGCTACATGCGTATGCACATGTTAAAGATGGGATAAACCTTATACGCTTGATACTTTTATGACCTATATTAATATCTACTTGTATATATATATAGAGAGAGAGAGATATACATATAGATTTTACTAACTTTATCGGTACAAGGTTTGTACAGGTTTCCATACCTTTTCCTTCATTTCTATATCTTTTAAAATAGACAATATGGTTGATTTTATTTTTGAAAACAAAAATAATTGTCACATAAAAAAGCAATATGTTTAACAAATTGAATCATACATCTATCTATAGGGAAAAACTCAATATGATCCCGTCATTCAGCTATTAGTTTGATTTATTTAGTTGGATAAGTTACAAAGATCTCCTTGTACTATAGAGTTAGTGACAAATACCGCCTTGAACTTTCATTTGCGGCAAAGACCCCCTACATTTTCGCCTCCTAACAAATACCCCCTCCATTAGTAGGGGTGAGTATGGATTGGTTCAATTGGGTTCCATGGTAGAACCTAAAACCTACCTTGTAGGGGTTGGTTCCAAGTTTTTGGAACCATAGCCTACCTTGTGAAGGTTGATTCTTACTTTGGTGGTTATAAGGTCGATTCTAGGTTTTACTCATGGCTTGATCTTTCTTCACTATCCCCACTCAAAAAAAAAAGAAGCATGTTCTTTAAAAACTTGATTTTTAATAAAATATAATATATAATTAAAAACTTATATTATCATTATTGATGAAATTGAGTAAGTTAATATGTAGATTATCATTATATGGTTCAAAACTTATAATTTAAATTTAAAATTTGTGAATATTACCTTTTACATTACTTATTGTAGACATTCAAATATTAAAATGAAAATAAATGATCAAATCGCTTAGGCAACTCAATTGTCAAGTGAGATCATGGCCTTTGTAACCATAAGTTTTTGGCTTCAAATCTTTACATCCCTAAAAGTATTTTGGGGTTTATTTCAAGGCAAGTTCAATTCCAAGGCAGGCTCCACCAAGGCCAACCAAGGTTGGTTCATTGGGTTGGTTTGGGTAGGGTAAACTCGTAGACCCTTGAACCAGCCTGGGTAGGGGTTAGTTCCAATAATTTGGAACCAGACCCCACCTTTTAACATATTAGGTAGGGTTAGTTCAAGGCCGGTTCTAAGTAGAATTAAAGCGGTTCCGCCATTAATTTTGAAAAAGATTCTCATTCAGCTATTTATTTATTTATTTTTGAAATTTCTAAGCTACCATTTTCTTATTTATTCGAATAACTTATGGTTTGATTAGTTTTCTAAATATGACATTGAAGGCCTCTTGGTTGCTCCAATAGATCTTTGCAGATTTCTAACTAGATTACCATTCCAATGAAATGGTAGATGTTTCTTTCTAATAGATATAAATTTATGGTTTTGTTTGGTTTTCCTTGACTTTTATATTTTAAGATGATGAGAGACATTCACGTGAGAAAAATGAATAAAAAATTTTAAAAAGCTTTTTTTTTTCTATGCCAATGAAATGATTCGTTTTTTTAGTTGGTTTCATTTGATGAAAGTGAGGGTATTTTTAGTCAATTAGGGTTTAAGAGAAAAAGGACAAAAAAAGAAATTAAGAAAAGTTTAAGTAGGCATTTTGATTATTTAATACGTTTCCAAGACCAACTTAACAATTGATGGTATTTGTCTCAGACTGAAAGTTTTAAAGGGTATTCGTCACAAATGAAAATTAGGTGGTATTTGTAGGGGTGCTGTCATAACTTAACCGAACTGTGAGTTTTTTTTTTTTTTAACCGAATAGACTTGGTCGATTTCTTAATAATTCAAACTAAAACTGAACCGATGCAATCGGTTGGCCAGTTAATCGTAGTTTGGTTTTCGTTTTTTTTTGTTTAATAACCTTCCACTCAAAATTAAAAAAAAAGGAAAAAAACCTTCTCTCCATCAAAATCAATTTACATATTAAAATAAATTGATTTAAATTTATACACTTTTATTTTATTGAATGTTACAATAGGTTATAGACTTATAATTTATGTAATTTGTTCAATTCTTCTAATCTAAAAAGTGAAGATTATAAACTGTATGTACAAAGGACAGTCATCCCTGATTCTTATACAACTCTCACTAGATGTTTGGCATAAAAACAAATGTTCTCATTTTGTAATCATCTCATAAAACATGAATAAATAAATAGGCATTGGGGCATAAAGTTTTATTTCTGCTAAATCATTCAAGGGTTTACTTGTAATCCAAATCAGCATGTTAAAGTTATAGTTTTGCTAAATCATTCAAGGGTTCACTTGCAATCCAAATCAATAAAACAAGCTGAAACGAAAATACAACAAACTAAACTATTAATCAATATTCGTTCAGTAAAACAAATTAAACTATTAATCAACATTCATTCAGTAACAATCCAAAAAAATGAAAAATTACACTATAAATGAACAAGCTGAAATGAAAATACAAACTTAAGCCTAAAGGCCTATATATTTATGAAAAATACACTATAAATAATATTTATGCAAAAAAAAAAAAACCTTAAACAAGCTGAAGGCCTGAAGTCAAACTTGGACAATGAACACTGAAGTAGTGGCCGATTTGTCGGTGCAAGATTGGCTGTTGTCGCTTGAACATGAAGTGAGAGGTGGCAGAGATGATAGGTTTCACCGGAGAGGGAGTAGCTGGCACCTGGCTTTGGACCTTTGGTGGCTTGGTGCTTGCCATCAACCAACCAGTGTTGCCGCTTGGCGGTTGGTGCAGAGCGGCAAGGGAGATGACGAGAGAGAGAGAGAGAGAGAGTTCTTAGTTCTGGGCCTTTTGGCAGAGAAGGGAGGGGGAGAGGCTATCGGAGGATGACCATCAACCAGCAGCGACTTCGAATGATAGAAGATGATGACCGGCACCGAAGGAAAGCAAGGGGAATTGGGGAGGAAGACGAATAAAAGTAAAGCAAGGGTTTTCAATTTTGATATTAGCCTTTAGGTATCGAAGAAGGGGAAAGGGGGAAAACTCAAAAAGTCAAATGACAATGTGTTTATTTTGATTTAAAAAAATAAAATAAAAATATAATATATAATATATATTACTATATATACTGGTCAGTTCAATTAACTGCCGATTTTTTTAAAAGGTTAACTGAAACTGAATCGACCGATTCAGTTAACCGGATTTTTTATTCAGTTTCGATCAATTTTTTGATTCAATTCATTTTTTCGAGCATTCTTGTTCATCCCTAGGTATTCGATACTAGCCCTATATTACAAGGGGATCTTTGTAATTTACAGTCAAGAAATCGGGATATTCTGAAAGCCAAAATTCTGCGCACTAGCACTCAGCCACCTTGGAAATATCTTTCATGATGTCCCCAATGGGCAAACCAGCCACATAGCCAAAATGTCTTTCATGCTTGCAGAGTGAATCCCATCTCTTTTTTTTGGGAGATTGGCTTCTATCAGGGCAAACCTATGCCCACACCTTTCTAACAGCCTTTTGCAAATTTATATTGGAGATATCTCTCTATGCCATGAAATAAAGCAGACAAATACGAAGATATTCTCAATGTAAGACAGTAAAGGTTGCTCGAACAGTGACTGAAGCCGAACTCTTATTTTAGACGGTTAACAAATAATATAATCTACTGCAATTTAACTTCAGTATTCAGAAGACTGTGTTCACAGCTTTTTGAACCGTTCATTAAGAATATCTCTATAATTATTTTATAAAAAGATATTTCCAATGAAAGGCTGAAGGGGCTATGCGAACGGTGTGAGCACGGTCGTGTGAGCACTGAATCTACTTTTCATCACTCGTTGCAGTCTCGCAAAAAACAACAGAAACCAGACTCCTTTTGGATGTAATTGTTAAAGAAAGAGAAGGGTTGTTTTGTAATTACAAATTACGATGATTTTCTCGGTACCTGATCCTTTTGAAATGGTCTCAATTCTAAGGCGCAGGAGAGTTCTGTCGAGTGAAGTTGTAGAGAGCAAAGAGAGAAGCTTAACCGAGCAAACAGAGACATTAGCAAAAGCCTTCATACATCCTGCAATGGAGGTCGGAAGAAACCTAGTTTCTTCAGCTTCACTGTTCCCTCCAAGAACCCAACTGAAAAATTCTTCTTCCTCAGGTATGCCTGGTATGCAACCTTTCTTCGTATATGTACATATACTGAAATCTTTTGCTTTTGTTTGTTCTTCTTCTTGTTTAGATCAATGGTGCCATTACTGGCAAGAGAATCAAATGGGTATGTGAAATTTAGTTATTTTCCACATGGTTTTTGGTGGATAACGCCTTTGAGTTCCCTTTACTTGTTCCACTTAGAGTTTCCTCTATGGTTCTACCCTGAGTTTTTTGTTTTGATTTTCAAATTTGTTCTTCCGTTGCTGCATGCTTATATTTTTCTTTTTTGACTGCTGAGTTGCTGAAGCTGATGCCGAGTTTGTGTGTGGTCCTTTGGATTGATATAAGTGGAGAAATGATAAAATACTGATTAAATTTAATACACTCATATGGTTTATTCTTGATTAATGTTCATTTTGAGTAAAAGAATAAGAATAAGTGGATAAATGAAGCCAGACGGTGTTGGTGGGGTTAAGGGGAACATAATGTAGCTGGATGAGAAAGTGAAGAGGATTGGTGAATGATCCAGATTGGAGGAAGAATCAAGATTAATCCTAAATCATTGAATTGGAGATGTTTTTTTTTTTTAATCCTGGTCAACTACCTAAATTGGCTACCTCGCCATTCATGTGCTGCCACTGGTTTGCTGTAGAAAGAATTAGAGGGAGGTGATGGGACTCTCATGTAAGGTTACATTTAGAGGGGTTTATGCACTCTGGTTTGCAAAATTGGTTAAATTTAGACATAGTAGGTATTGAAATATCCTCTACACCCCATCTAAAAGAAATGGGACATCAAAAAGGTTCCAGTCCCCCAAGAGATGTTAGGACTTGGGACTGGCAAGAAAAATGTCAGGATGGAGAAAGTGGTGGTGGGGCTTCAAGAGGGGTCTTGTCTTGTAAAGCTATAGAAAAAGGTCTAAATAGATTCTCTTTGTTACTTAATAAACATTTTATATGAAAATTGATATTCATTGTGTATATGCTGAATAAGCAAGAAGAAAATCAAATTGACACAGATTTGTCCTTCAGGCATTTACATTAGGTTGCATGTCCAACATGGATACTTAATCCATTTAGGAGAGCCCATTCAACACTTTCAAGAATTCTACATTGATAAACTTGGCATGCATTCTAAAAATGGTTATCTGCATTAAGTAATGTTTGGTCTTACTAGATCTATATGATTTTGTTGTTTTACATGGAACTAAATCAGATCAGTAATACATCATTATCATCTCTAAATTTGTTCTCCATGTATGCTTTTGTTCAAAATGCTTTATATACTCCCTCCTTTTTAAAATTCTTATCACATAAACTTTGCCTTATGGGGCATAGAATCAAAAAAGGTTATATTTGGCATGGGCCAATTTCAATCTGACCCTGACCCTACCACGCCCAGCCCTGAAATGTTTCTTGCACAATCAGGGTTAGCAACTACCAGCCCATTATTGACTCATTGAAGGAAAAAGAACCCGTTTAAGTATTGAAAAAGTATTGACCTAGTAAAACAGGAAAAAAACTTAGAAAATTTCCCTGGTTGAGAGTTTTCCACAAATAAACTCATTGCATTAGCAAAGATGGTTCTAATCCAACTTGTTTAATTTTTTAGGATTAAAAAATGGCTTAGGTCCATCATTTCGAGCATTTAAATCAGGCCCTGAGTCTCTGATTCTATGCATATTTTTTTATCAAACCAATGTATTTTATGTTAGAAACTTTGGTTCTAAATGAAGTTGGAAAGAGTCGGTACTTGAAGGAGATAAAAGATCAAGAACTATGGTGTGCATGATTAAATCCAGTTAATCACTCTATACATTAGAAGAGCTAGGGCTAGGCCAAAAAGGACAGGGATGGAGGTAGTGAGAAATGATTTGAGGGCTCACAAGTCACAATAAAGGATATGACACTTGATAGAGTGGGAGTGGGATGGAGAAACAAAGATTGGTTTAGGTTGGGTTGCTTGACACTAGGGGTTTCAAATGGACTGGATTTGGTCCAATCCAATCCGGTCCAATATGAGTCCATTCAGATGGACCAGGTCCAATCCAATCCAATGAATACTTTGGACCATTTTGGACCAGTCCAATTCAATGTATGGACCACCCGATCTGTTCAAATTGGTTTTAATTTAGATTGGTTCCAACCCAAACCTGTTCCATTGACACCTGTGCTCTTATCTTCTATCAATGGACAGGATATTGATTCAATCCAACCCAATCCAATAAATACTTTGTACCATTAAGTCTGGACTGGTCCAATTCAATATATCTTATTGGTCCATCCAATCCATCCAAATTGATTTTGATTTGGACAGGGTCCAACCCAAAACCGGTCCATTGAAACTCCTACTTGACAGTATTGCCATCCCTATGGGGGATGCATAAATGCTGGGAGAAGCTGTCCAAATCCTTCTCCAATGAGTGGATACTTGGTGAAATTCTCTCTGTACAGCAGCTAATTGCCTCCAAGCCTAATGTAAACAACACCGGATGTCCTAAAATTGTTCTCAAAACTAGGTCAATACTAGCATTTCCTCTCCTTCCAGGTTATCTTTAGCAATGCAGAAGAGTGGATAATTCTTTTTTTTTTTTTTATTTGAATTGAAGCATACATTGCTGTTCATAACCAAGTCACCCGAAATAAAGACTGGACAGCACAGTAGAACTTCCAATGAGAATATATAATGCAACACAATGTGTACCCTGATGTTGTTAAGTTGTTAACACGTGTGTAAGTTCATCTCCCTTCTAAAATGTTGGAAGGAAAAACCGTCTGTCAAGGTGTCCCAATAGGGTTTGCTTGTTAGAGTTGAAACGTAACCACAATAAAACTCACTGGGCTCATTCCTTAGTAAACATCAGTCCTTTGCATTTCATGAAGTTTCACTTATAAGTTTATGTTAAACAAAGGGCCTGTATGCTTGCTGTAGACTTATTGTGACAAGTGTCTTAAAAGAATTTTTCTGTTACTTTTTATTTGGACAATCTTGATGAACTGCAAATTAAGGCATACTCGGTTTTGTATTTGGGTGTCTCCTTTCCAAGGTTGGCTAGGTCTTGAAGCTTGGACCCAGAGGTGTAATGCGTGGATTATTTTCCTACCTTTATGCCTTTGTGCTTCTTATTGTATTATCATTATTATTATTTAGTGGTTTTATAAATTTGAGAGTTTAAATAATATTTTTAACAACCTGGGATATTATTGTTTCTTTACTGCAGAGTCCAGGTTCTATTTTTACAACTCTTTGTCCTGTTTGTTTCCTTGACAAGCAACAGAAGTTATTTTGTGTGCCCATCCTAACGTAATTCAGTGTCTTGAACAGTACAAGATATCTCTCTTTGTGATTGCTAGATTCTCTCTCTTCCTGTTTTTCTTTAAAAATTTATTTGAGATCTTTTTATTGCTTATATGCTTGTTTCTGTTTTGGTTTTGCAGTTACTTTGCTTCATGAGCAGGCAAATCCTATAGTTGTCTCTATGCCCACTACATCCATAACTCGTCACTTCCCTGCATCGGTTCTTCTCCAAGAACAGCGTGATGACATTAGACCTTTTCTGCAAATAATCAGGGAAGATAAAACATCCCAGGTGAGTCTGAGGGAACACACTCACGATTGTCTGTGTATTGTGACTGAATCTTCTTTTTCTGTTCTCATTATTTTTCTCTTCACTTTTTTTTTTCCTCTTGGAGTTGTTGGAATAATCTTTTATTTTGCCACAATGTAGCTAATCTAATAGTGCAAGGAGGTTTAAACTTGCATGCCTTGTTGAGGCAAAAAATGGACTGAGTATGACAGGATGTTCTTGTACTCATTTCTTATGATTAATGCTTTGACACATTGTTTTCCAATTTGTATGCAGCTTGACATATATTTTATGATTTCATTGTATGCAATTCAGATGTTATACATGATTGATGCTGAACAATCTTTTCAAGCCTATTGCTCTCTCGCACATGCAATTTGTAATTAATGAATCCTCAATTGCTTATGTTAAGGCAATGCTGGACAGGAGGAAGCTAGAGGATAAGGTGCATCTCTATGAAGAAAAGAAAAGTTGTCAACCTGATAGATATTGGGAAGGTTTTGAACGCCAGTTGCTTTACTGGCCTGGTTTATGGTATTTGTAAGATAAACCAATCTCAATTTTCCTTGTTTGATGCATCATTAGAACAGTTTGTGGATTAACACCATTGTATTTCTATCTTATGCTTTTTTTTTTGGGTTCTTATGAGTTCTTTATGGGACATCCCTTGGTTGCAGATTGCCATCCTTGTACAAAGGGGAAAAACCCTTGTTATCCATGGTAACACAGTCTACTGCTGCTGGCACAGTTAAGAATGTGGATGTTAGACCATGTGATGCACTTGAGCTTGCAAAGAAAGCAGTGTTGGCCTCAAAGCAAGCAGCTTCATTGGCCAAAGACTATGAGTTATTTGGAGCTGATTCACATGAATCTTTTCTGCCTGAGTTAGTTTTTTGTTACTTACTTTTCCTCTTTTTGCACTCTCCCTCCCTCCTCTCTCTCAGTTGTTCTTTACTGACAATTTTGAACTAATTTCTAGAATTTCTGTACAGTTTGGAGCCCAGAAATTTGGCGAATAAAATTCCACTTAGAGAGGAGGTAGCAGTAAGGTCAAAACGGCTTCTGGAGAGGCAATCCAAGAGAAGATGGATTCCAAGGCCAAAAGTTGTTGTCAGTGAGGCTTCAACTTCCAGAAAGTCTGATATACATAAGAAGATACATGAAGGCTTTGATACAAATGATCCCCTCCGTCTGTTCTTGTGGGGTCCAGAGACAAAACAGCTTCTGACTCCAAAAGAAGAATCTGAGTTGTTTGTTCATGTTCAGGCATGTTATTTGATTCCTGTCAATAACCAATTGGGATACTACTTGGTTTAGAAACATGGGCTACTTTATCTGGTATATAATTTTTATTTTTTCACTCTTATTTAACAGGAACTGATCAGATTAGAGGAGGTGAAGCAGAGGCTTCAGTCTCAATTTGACCGTGAACCAACATTAGTTGAATGGGCTGAGGCTGTTGGAATGACTTGCCAGTCTTTGCAGTCAATCCTTCATTCAGGAAATAGCAGCCGAGAAAAGATTATTTATGCCAATTTCCGTTTGGTGGTTCATGTGGCTAAACATTATCAAGGGCAGGGTCTGAACCTTCAGGATTTACTGCAGGTCAGAATTCAGATTTGTAACCTATATGTAGAATTGAAGCACTTTGTATCACAACGTAGAATTGCCAGATGGGTATCTTTAGTTGCATCCTGTCTTGAACCAAATAACTGTGATTAACAGAGAGAGATTACTCAAGCTGATATATAAATTAGCCTTTATTTCACAAATGTGGCTCTGATGCATGACCGACCACTAGTGAAAGCAGCTTCTGCAGTTTGGAAGTGCAAGGACATTTTAATAATCTCGATTACTTGTGAATAGTTACATGATAATTCCTTTTGTGTTATCCCTTCTTCATTCAAGGTAACTACATATTTTTCAGTTTTCTGCTTATTGTAGGAGGGAAGTATGGGCCTTATGAAGAGCCTTGAGAAGTTCAAACCACAAGCTGGTTGCCGATTTGCTACATATGCATACTGGTGGATAAGGCAAGCGATTAGGAAGGCCATATTTCAGAATTCCAGAACAATTCGTTTGCCAGTAATGACTCTCTTATTTTGATCATGAATCTTGATTAAGGCTTCTGCTAATCATGCTATTAGACTAGGGCATTCCTTATTTTCTGATTAGTATACCAGGGTATTCCTTCAGATCTGTTATTGATTTCCTATTTTCAAGCAAGTTTCAATAGATATGGATTTTCTGCTTGTACCGAAGGCAATGTTATTCTGATTCTTTCAGAAATAACCATTAAATCATTTGCAGGAGAATATGTTATTCTGATTCTTTCAGAAATAACCATTAAATCATTTGCANTCTGATTCTTTCAGAAATAACCATTAAATCATTTGCAGGAGAATATGTTATTCTGATTCTTTCAGAAATAACCATTAAATCATTTGCAGGAGAATGTATATAGCCTCTTGAGTCAAGTAAAGAAAGCAAAGAAGCTGTTTATTCAAGAAGGTCATCATCCCACGAACGAGGAACTGGCAAAACGTGTTGGCATTACAGTTGAGAAGTTGGAAAGATTGTTTATGTCCACAAGAATGCCTCTATCAATTCAACAACCAGTGTGGGCAGATCAAGATACCACTTTTCAAGTAATGTTTTTTCGTGTCCCTTCCCCCACTGTCTAAGATGTTACTTCCTTTTACTGGTGAATGTTTGCTTATCTGCATTTGTTCCTGAGATGTCATTATATCAGAAGGAACATGAGAACTGTGGTATTGATAAGAGAGAGAGAGAGAGAGAGAGAACTGTGGTCCACGTTTATCTAAGTATTGAACCAGTTATTTCATCTGGAAGGTCTACATCCAGTTGGAGTTGGTCTGGAAGTTGTGGGGTACAACCTTAAGTTAATTTTGTATAAGCTCCCTGCTTTTATATGATAGGGTAAATGTTGCCTGCTTCTAGATAACAAGGTAAATTACAAGTAAATTAAATGCTATAGAATTTAAACTGGAGAGCCAAGGTTGCTTTCTGAGATCTGGTGATGTGAGAGATTTACATCTAGAACTATGCATCTTGAAGTCTTTTTTTCCCCCATTTAGGGTGATAATAAAACTAGCTTGTTAAACTAGAGATAAACTGCACTGACTTCCAGTGGTACAGGGCTCATCATCCAGATTAACTAGACTGCCACTTTAACCCTACACACCCGTTTGGGAAAGGGATACGATACTCAGAACCCTATTGTTTTTCCAACTTGATTCAGGATTGTGAATGTATAGAGTAGATTTTTGGCCCTTGGGGACTTTGTGTTTGACATGTGTACAGTTGTGCATTTGGTAGATATAGACCTGAATTTCTGTCACCGTACATTTGTGCTCTCAGGAGATCACAGCAGATACTGAGGTGGAGAAACCAGATCTATGTGTTGCGAAGCAGCTGATGAGACGCCATGTGCGTAACCTTATTAGTATTCTCCCCCCAAAAGAAAGGCGGATAATACGGATGAGATATGGAATCGAAAACAATGAACCGAAATCACTCCAAGAAATTGGGTCTATTTTTGGATTGTCCAAGGAGAGGGTACGGCAGCTGGAGAGCCGTGCCTTGCACAAACTCAAGCAGTGCCTCTCAAGCCAGGGGCTTGGTGCTTATGCAGATTTACTTGTTTAAAAACATAGGTTTTCATAGCCTTTCAGCAAGGACATGAAGTTGGTTTTTGGAATCTGTAGAGCACTTTGAGTTTGTAGTCTGTAACTATTGTATATATAAATCTCTCTCTCTCTCTCTCTCTAGCAAGATAAAACTCCTATACTGGTGGTAGCATACCAGCCTGTGAGTAGAGAAATACAAGAGACATGGAAGTAAGAGAGGATAACTTGGCACCGGAAAGCCTTTTACCCATTCAGGCCTAGATTGTTTGCGGTGCAATTTCATTTACACTGGTGCAAAAGCATGGGGTACAAATGATTTTGGTGTAAATTCTGATTTTTTTTTTTTTTTTTGTTTCAACTTCGTCATTATTTCCTTTGTTTGCATTGCATATTAAATAAAACCTGTAGCAAATTAAATTAAAACCAAAGCAAAAAAAAAGGAAATAGATTAACAGATTTTGCATCCTTCTCATTTGCACTCATATATTTGAAATTTTGAATCAGTGCAAATGAAATTGCACTGCAAGAACCTTAAAGGACAAAAGTGGTTTTTGTTCTGATTTCTGAGTGCTGACATTTGAAGCCTGAGGGTTAAAGAGGGTATTTGGTGGGCATCAAATCGTTCAAGACAATAGCTTGAGGCCCCATTTCAATTAAGGCAATTCTATGATATCGGAAGAATCTTGACCAATCAGAACCGCCGTGAATTTTGATGGATTGCAGTTGATATGAAACCGGTTGATTGTTTATCAGTTTCTTCTGTATCAAATATGTAATGCCTTTACGGTATCATAGTCGAACAAAGGGTAAAAACTAAAACTAAAAGGACTGGCGGAGATGGAGCACCAGACTAATCTACTCCTGCATCCAACCATTCCTTTCTGTAGGAGTGATACATACTTGGAGACAGAAGACCAACCCTAGTTTGTTTGTTTTTTTTTTTTTTCTTTTTTTTTGCCTTGGTTAAAATTATCGGTTTTGTATTGTAATGCATGGTACCCTTTAATATGGTAAAACCCCAAGACTCAAATATCATAAAAAGCTCATAAAAATATAAAAAAACTGGTCCTTGGTTCCATACTTCCAGTGGATTATGGGGTGAATTTGACGATCCAGTTATTTGTTCTTGTTAACGAGTTTTGGATTTAGGTTAAGTTTGGAAGGAGTATAAATGCAAATATGAATAGTGCAAAACCATGTATTTTATATTATATTTTACTAGCGGGGACTTGTGCGATGTAGAAGACTTATCAAGGAAAGTGAAATAATAACCAATACTTATAACTAAGGAAAGAATGCAATGTTGTTTAAAATAATTAAATCTTTATTTTAATACTTTATTACAAAAATGTTTTAGTAATTTAATAATTTGGATTAATTATATTAATATTTTTAGCAAAAAATAATAATCATTGCTAATTACTTAATAAAATAATTATTTTTTAGTGTTCTATTTTATTTATTTTACTTTATTAATGATTAAATGTTTCAATTATTTGTAAATATCACTTAAATATTTAAAATAATTAGATATCAGTAAATATATAAAATTAGGCTATAGTCATAATTAAATTAATCTATAGTTAACTTTTTGCCATTAACTAAATTAATCTAAGCCCAAACTCAGGGTTTAAGACTTTGGATTAGGCTTGGATTGATCCTCATCCTGACCCAACCAACCCAAGTTGCATGCATTGTAACATTCGTAATTGGATTGGACCAAAGTCATCAAACCAAGTGCAACCCATGCATGCATTATTTTTAGTTTTTTTTAACTATTTTTAGATAATATTGAAGCCAAAGGAACTATGAGGGATGGGCCACCCACATTGTGTAGCAGTTTTTTAAGATTTCTTGGCCTAGCCTAGCCCACACCTTAAGTGTAATAATATTTGTATAGGCTTATAGGATTGCCCGTGTTAATTATAAAATTATATTTTTTTTTACAAATTAAATTTTTTATTTAATTATAGTATAGTATAAAAATATATATATATATATATATATATATATATATATATATATATATATAACATTTCTATATATTAATATAAAATTTGTTATCTAAAATAATATTTACCATATATGCATATAACTTCCAAGTTGAACTTATTAGGAGTTGTTTAGCTTGAACCCTATCCACTAAAGACATCATTGGACTCCAAAAGTTTGATGCCCAATTAAACTTCGAATCTGATTATCCTTGATAATGTGTGGGCTTGGTGCATATCTCAGTTAAACCTAACTCAAAAGAAAATAGTTGCTTGAGCTTGAAAATTTATAGATCTAATCGGGTTAGGTTAAGTTATAAACGATTTGTTACTTTTTATTATTAACTTTAATTGTCCTATCAATACTAATTTTTAATAGTCAGTAGATAAAACTTAGAGGTGAGCATTCGGTTAAAAATCAGACCAAATAAACTGAAATTTAAAAAATTGAACTAAAAAATAAAAACTGAAATTGAAATTGAAAATTTTGGTTATTTTGGCTAAAATTTAATTTAATAATATATACTCTATCATATATATTACAACATATAATATATATTATATTATAAAATATATATTATGAAATCAAATTTCATTATATTATATATTAATATGTATAATATATTATATATTATATGTTACACGCTATATATTATATCTTACATATTATATATTACATATAATAATAGAAAGTTCGGTTAATTTGGTTAATCGAATTTCTAATTCTAAAAACTAAAACTGAACTGCTTTAACCAAAAATCGAAAAAACCAAACTGAAAAAAAAAGAAACCAAAATTTTTGGTTTGGTTTTCGGTTTTAACCGAATGGTGCTCACCCCTAATAAAACATATTAAAATTTAATTATTCTATCAATAATTTATACTTGGGTTTGGTGTAGATCTGAGGTAGACCTAGCTTAAAAGAAAATATTTGCTTGAGCGCAAGGTTGAGCTAAGTAATAAATAATCATCCCTATGTAGAAGGAGTCTTATGACATTATGAAAATGGTTTAACTTTTATTTTTCATAATCTTTTACTTTTTTATATTCATTTTAATTATCCTATTAAATTATATTTAAGTTTTTTTAATTTATGAACTACTAAATAATTTTTATTAATTTCATAAATTTTAATAATTTCTAGATAAAAACTTGCTAAATTTTAATATTTTTTTAACTTTAGTAATTTTATTAATTATAGTTATTAGGCTTCAAATTATATATAGATTGCACGTTATAGATTTCTAGACAAACCAAGACCATTTTAATATTGTATTTATTAATGAGTAAAATATTTTAATAATAATGTTAACTGTTTAAAATACTATAATTATTATTAATGCTGAATAAAATACTGTTTTGAATAAATAATGTATTTATTAAAATATTGTAAGTATTAAAATGCTGTAAGTATTAAAAATACTATAATTATTAAAATATTATATTTATTGAATATATGGCTAATTAACTAAATACTTTTAATATTATTAAATACTGTATTTGTTAAAATACTGCTAATTATTAAAAGTACCGTAATTATTAATTTACTATTAATTAATAAATGCATTATTTATTAATGTAATACTATGATTATCAAAATATTGTAATTATTAAATTTCTGTATTTATATAAAATACAGTAATTTTTTGGTAATTAAATGTATTTTTCTGCTATTTATAGCTTAAATTATAATTTCTGTTAATTATAGTTTAAAAATAATTATTGTTAATTATATTACCATAAATAATTAAAATAAATTATTTTTTTTCATTATTATTCAGTGTTTTTTGAAATAAAATACAATTAATTTAGTTTTTAATTTTTTTTTGTATTTTAATTAAGTTTTAGGTTTTTCAGAATTTTCGGATTTTTAATTAATTTTTGGTATTTTTTCATTATTATTCAGTTTTTTTGCATATGACTATTTTTCAAGAATTTTCAGTATTTTCATCATTTACTTTTGCATATTATTCACTATGAAATTAATTTGCATTTGCTTTCAAAAATAAATTAAATAACTAAATAAATACCATAGTTAACAAAAATGCAGTTAATTTTCAATATTTTTTTAATAATTTCTGGCTTGGGTATTTTTTAATAATTTTTGATATTTTAATAATAAAATATTATTAATTGTACTTTTTAATACTTTTTTTTGTTAATACCCTTTTTAATATTTTAAAATACTGTTAATTTTCAATACTTTTTATTATTTTCAGTATTTTAATTACGTTTTGGTTTTTCAGAATTTTCTGGATTTTTAATTAATTGTTGGTATTTTTTCATTATTATTCAATAATTTTTGTAATAAAATACTGAGTTCTGTATTTTAAATTTTTATTAATTTTTATCTTTTTTTTGTGCACAATAAAGGTCTTAACTCATAAAAATTATTAATTAATTAAAAATGCATTGATACAAAGTTATCTAATAATATTATTAAAACTAGAATTAATATTTTTATAATTTCTTATTTTTATTAGCATTTATTGAGTTTTATTTTTAAGTGGAATTGAAACACATTTTTAATATTTACTAAGTTTTGTTAATATTTATTTTAAGTGAAAGTTTAATTGATTTTTAAATTAATAATTTTTTATTGTTTAACATCAACCTATTTATATTATTACTCTCTCTCTCTCTCTCTCTCTCTCTCTCTCTCTCTATATATATATATATATATATGTAGTGCAAAATCTTATATTTTGTATTATTCTTGTATGTATTTGCATTGTACATATTTGTATTTATATTATTTTCAAACTGAGCCTTGGAAGGAGTACAAATACAATATAACAAAAATGTAAAGTGCAAAACGTTATATTTTCTATGTATTTGTATTGTACATATTTGTATTTATACTCTTTAGGCTCACTTTGAAAAGATTATAAATACAAATATATACAATATAAATACATACAAAATAATACAAAAATACAAGGTGTTGCTCTCTACATATTGGTATTTGTAGAAATATGTACACTTGTACAGTACAAATAAATGCATACAAAATGCAAAGGCTTTGCACTCTACATATTTCTATTTGTACTTTTGTACTGAGCCTAAATAACAAATTCTTCAATTGGAGGAATCCCAAAGCAGGTATTTGATTTACGTAAACTAGCCGAGCAGGATAGGATGTACAAAAGAGACGAGTAGAGCGAGGAACGAAGAAAGTAAATGTATTATTTTGCCTGGTATGATGATGGTGTAAACGTGAAGCCAAGCATGCATCCGCATTATATAATTAAGATATAAGTGCTGGTTATGGGTGGAAATTAGACCTGGCAAAAAGTTGACCCATCCCGAAAAAAAATATATTTAGCTACTTGAATGTGAGAATGACCCGATCCGGTCCGACCCGACCCGAAAAAACTGGGTTGGTTTATGAGTCAATTCGCTGACCGGATTGTCAAGTCTAATTGTGACTATTTATGCATTGTTATAAGTTTTCATTCTTTAATTTTTTTCTATTTAATCTTTACTCTTTAAACTGTTAAATGTTCAAGTTTTTTTTATTTTATATTCAGAATTTTAAGGTTAATTCCTTTAATTTTGGTATTGTTCATGTAGTTTTCTTTACATTTTTAAATTTCAATTATTTTTTGGGATGACCTGAATTGACCCATGGGTCAACCCTAACCTGAACATTTAGGGTTAGGGTCTAACATTTGATAACCCAACCCGACCCAAAATCAATCCAAAACATCTTGACCCAACCCGAACCCGACCCAATTGCCAGGGGTAGATTTTGTACTTTTTTTCCGTCGCTGAAAAGATTGTTGTTTGAATATTTGGATCTTCTAACAAGTCGATTACAGGACTATTCCTCTTCCAAAGCATTAAAAATCCAAGGGTTTGTTTGGTTTGCAGTTGGAAACGGAATCAGATTTGAAATGGTCTACCCCCACCTGTTTGGTTCAGACAAAAATTAATATCAGTTAACATGCATGGATTCTCATTCCCAAGGGAGGGGGAGGGAATGGCCATTCCTGGTGGAATGAAAATGGAATTCCGATTCCACCCCACCAAACAGTTGGATAGATTCCAGATCCCCATTAGTGAACCAAATGTACCAGATTAATGCAAAAGATGGACATGCTTTTTCCTCAGCAATTTATGATGCAGGAAAGATATGATATTGAAAGAGTTTTGACCAATCAAAACCCACCCATGAATTTTGATAAATAAACACCTGATTGGCTACCACATTTATGATACTAGTTGATTGGTCAACAAATTTTCAGATATCATAGTCGAACCCACTTCCCATCCATTAGCAAGTTACAGGATCTCACAATTATAAACCCGATTAGTGCAAAACTCAACAATTTAATCATCTTCCCGAGTTCCTGAACCTCCCCCAGTTATCCTTGCAGGTCTGACTGGTTGTATTGTCTCATTGAATTACGTTTCCACTCCCACCTTGGTTTGGCAGATGGAGGTCTGCTAAATAAATCTAGTTGGTACAAATGAATTCATAATTTCATCCCAGGATCCACCAGTAAGAGCCCAATGAGGTCATCCATGGTGGAGGTGGTTCAAGTTTTCTGCAAGATGATGGTGGAGAAGAACAAACGCATCACCAGGGCTTATGATTGTATTAACTATTAACATATGGAATTTTCAGATTCTAGACTGTGTTGGCAGCCCTTATTGTAAGCCAATAATCAACGGGCGATGCGTTTCTAAGGATTCTACCCTTGTCCAGCTCTACCCAGATTGGATGCAAATGCTACCTCTGAACGGTAAGCTTGGTTGGATCTTATTAGAAACCCATATACATTATCTTTGCTTATAGGGTAGAGGGTTACGTTGGCACTTGGACGACCTAAGACCACTCGATCAGTGAATGTGCCTCAATGGTCATCTCTGATTATGGTGGGTGATATTCAAAGCAAACTGTCAAAAGTTGACTCTCAACTCAACCAATGTGCAAGTCCCAATAAATGGCAACAAACTCACCTCTGACCACATCTTAATGTCCAATATGTGTTTCTTATCTGAAGGAAAAAAGGGATATGGGAGAGATTGAGCTTGAAGAAACTACTACCCAAGTAAAGGTAAATAAGAAGAAGAAGAAGACTTGAGATTAAAGAAATTGATGTTCTAACTTCTAATACAGTGAAATCATTGCTATTGATAAAAAAAAAATAAAAAAATAAACTTCTAATACAGTGAAGTATAAGCATTGGGGTGAAAGGCAAGGAAGGTTCTAGTATTTGTCAAAAAAATGATCGAAGGTTTAAGTATTTATCCCTTGAATTTTTTTATCCTTCTATTCTATTGTACATAAAACAGATATAAAGGGAAGGCCATGGAATAGGGATATATATACAAGTAAAGATGTTGACAAAAAAAATATACCAAGGAAAAGAAGTCAATTCAACAAGAAAACTCATATGGAAGGCTCATTATTGATCATATCATGAACCTCATTAACCACCAAATGTGCTTTGTGGCCTCCAATAACCTCAGCCTGCTTCTTGCCATCCTTCCACAGCTGCATTGAGTTCTGTCACTTTCAGGACAAAGAAGAAAATATTGGACACAACCAACAAGAGTTCTGCCACTTTACCTGTATAGTTGGCATCTTCTGGACAGATTTAGGGAACCCCGAATTTGACAAACATGAAAACACATAATAAATGTCAACTAAAATGATTGTTGAACTTCAAGGCAGCTGAAGTGTTCTGAGATTAAAGAAAGAATCATTGAATAGCTAATGTTCTCAGTTCAAAGAGAAAGAGCAAGCAATAAGTGCCCAATGAAGAGGGATATTTCCAAGTAAACCTGTTCTGCACACTGATCTACTAATCAACAATATGTCACATACTAGTATACTACAGATGAAATAAATAATGCTTCATAAAATTCGATTTTAAAGTTGAAACTAAGAGCAACAAGGAACAATACCATACTTACCATATAGGACCAATAGAAAAAGAATAGTAGAATACCTACATAAAATTCCTATTGGTTTGGCAACAAGGATGAAAATATCCAGATGCATGGAACCTGTAATAGTTGTTTCTACAGGGAAACACTTTCAGTAATGTGGAGGATGACATATTTAATCTAAACCTTTCACATAATATGGGACCTTTTGAGGTTGACCAATCAACAAGAACTTGTGTAGAGTATTTTGGGGTTTAGAGTTGCAACTTTTTCTGTTTGTATGTGCTCACATAATGAGATAGACATTGCACTGTGCTATTCCCTGTTGCTGAACTAATAATGA